ATTTCCTTGATCTAACAAAAGTAGCACCTTCTTGTTTTTTTAAATTAATTTTTAAATTTATATATGACAGTGAAATGTATTACAATTCTTATTACACATATAGACCACATTTTTTCCTATCTCTGGTTATATACAGAGTATATCCACACCAATTCGTGTCTTCATACATACCTTCTTAGTTTTAATTGCCATGCCAAGAACTAGAAATATCCTAACCAATGAGATACTGTTCCTAATGTCAAGTGGCTTATAGTCTAGAGATACATGAATGGGTAGTAAAATAGAATCACTAAAACAGGGATTCTAATAGGACACTGAACAAGTAAGTTTGTGAGTGCTGACACATGCTATCTGGGGGAAACTTAGAGAAAGTTTTCTGCAGTATGTGACCCTGAGACCAGATGATGGCTTTTAGAGTCAGGGAACACTGAGTTAACTCTAAGTTCTAACACTTGGTGGTTGATTGACCTCAGGCAATTATTTATGTTCTTTAAGCTTCAGCTTCCTCTTCAACCAAATTATCCTTATTCACTCAACAACCTGACATGAACATGTTCGAGGCATGAGGTCACAAAGTAATTAAAAATAATATACAAGTCAGTTCTCCAGAAAACCTGAACCAATAGGGAATATATATATACACATATGTAGAAAGAAGTTAAATCCTAGGGATTAGGGATTGATGTTATACAATAATAGAGAATGAGAAAGTCTCACTATCTGCCATCTGCAAGCTGGAGACCTGTGAAACTTAATGTAATTTATTCTGTCCAAATTGAAGGCCCAGGAACCAGGAGCACTGGTCAGGAGAAGATGGCTGTCCCAGCCCAAATAGAGATCAAATTCTTCCTTCTTCCTGCTTTTTGTTCTATTCATGCCCTCTATGGATTAGAAGACGAACATCTGCATCGGTGAGTGTGATCTCCTTTTCTCAGTCTACAAATTCAAATGCTGATCTCCTCCAGAAACATTCTCACGGACACACCCACAATGTGTTACTAGCTATCAGAGTATCCCTTAACACAGAGTGATGCATGAAATCGACTGTTGTACCCAACATGCTGTCTCTGTTCTCAAGTAGCTCACACTCTGTCAATGCCAGTGGGATTGGAGACAGGATATTACTATGCAGACATATTAAAATGAGCTATGACAAATTAAAGAGAGTGAAAAGTGGCGGGGGCGGGGGGAGTGGTAAGAGAGGGTGTAATGGATGGGATGGCTTTAGATTTTAAGGAGGATTGCTCTGAAGGCCTGAGGAGGTAGTATTTGAACTGGGAATCTGTATAAGGAGGAAAAGGCTGTGTTCTGTGTCATGGGATAAATATTTGAATAGATCTGTGCATGAAATAACTTTGATAGTAAACCATCAATAAAATGTGTTCATTAAAAACTTTCTTAGTATCTTGACTGTTTCGTTGTTATTATTATATTGATTACAATTATTATATTGCCAGAAAGCAAATATGTAAACAAAAGCCCAGAGGAAATGGCCTCCAATTTTGGAAAGGGACATGGATTAGTAGCAGTGATGCAGACAGCATTTAGGGAGTTGTGACTCATGATATTTTGAGAGCCCGGTAACGGATCTTATGGGTCAGGCAGACCTGGGTGTTGTCCTCAGAAGCTACTGAAAAAATTTTGGTAGCAGTGGGCATGCTTGTCTTTTAGGAAAAGTACCAGCCAGTTTTCTTGCCCTCTTCTACAAACAGCACTGGAGGTGGGGAGGGCGAATGAAAGTGAGCAAGGGGGAAAGGCCCCAGGATGGAACGGTGGAGCTTTTAATGACAGAGATATTTATGAATAACACAAACAGAATGAAGGTAGGTATTGATTGGATTTGGAGGGCGAAGGGGCTGGGGCAGTGAAAGAATAGAGCATGCCTCTTCCGCACCTCCCATGCCCTGAGGAAGACCACTGAGGCAGGGTTTGGTGAACCTGCTGCAGATGTGGAGCAGGAGACTTGCCATGCAGTATCCTTTTCTGTCAAATGGGATATTTTCTTGCCTTAAGTAGAAGTGCAATCTGAGAATTGAGTCAGATGACAGGTATGAAAAGCACTTTGGAAATTGTAAAACATTTTTCAAATGTGAGGTGCTATTTTTATTACCCTCAGTTTCCCTGTATAGAATGTGACCCAATAACTGAATGACAGTGTTCTGGAGGGGCTGCTGAAGGAGGAGATGGGAGGCTCTGGGCTTCTCCTGCCCAGGGCTCTGCAGAAGGCCTGAGCAAGCCTCCCAGGGGACCACTTTTTCCAACAATGTCCTTAATGTATCTCTCATTTAAGATGATTTGCTAGACAAAGCTGTGTACATCATCAGAGGAGAGGCAGGCAGCCTCAGATGATTCAGTGGCTGGAAGGAAATACTCCCCATCGATTCTAATGGGAGCTAAGACAGCAACGACATGATTACCATCCATCCTTCCATTATTAAGCTGCACAGGGCAGCTGTCTCCTGATGCATAGACGCTCCCAGCAGGGGCATTCTCTGGGCAGAGCATTAACAAGAACTTAAGATAAATTCCTCCTCATTGGGCTTTGCAAATGAAAACCTATTTAGGGGTAGGCTGGGCCTGCTGTGGAAGTCATTGCACTTGTAGCTGATTTCCTTCTTTACTTTCTTCTCTTTTGATTTCCCCTCCTCCTTCCAAGCATCTGCTTTCCCTATCTCTTACTGTAAAATCAGAAAGGAGTCCCTGAGGTATGCATCTAATGCATTTGGAGCTTAGCACTTTACCCAAGGGAGCCTTCTGTAGGAACACCAAGCACCACATGCAGGTGGTGGGTGCTGCAGGTAAGAAGGGTGGGAAGCCTACAGTCATACTCCCACTTCTGTCCCTTGAAGTGTGACTGTGCAGGTTGATACTTGGCTCTTCCTATTGTTGCAGTAATGATGCATTTGCTTGTGTGTGGGCATGTGTGCAAACATGCACACATGTGTGTCCTGTAGTTGAGCAAGGGTTCCTGTCCTTTTATCCCAGATTGGGCTTCTGGAGGACTTTTTCTGAGTGCAGCAATTCTATGTACATGAATACCCTAAGGTTCCAAAGTAATGTACAAACACTGGCAAATTCACTTGCTGTGAAGGACTTTATATCAAGTCTTTTACAAGAGCCACAACAAAACAGCTCGAATCCTCCAATCCTAAATTTCATAAGTAGCTGTGGATCTGGTCAATGTCTTATTCTTTCCTTGTCACAGTGATATGAACAGAACCTTGCCTATCCCAAACCAGACCAGCCTCTTGGAACTCACCTTCCACCATTTCATAAAACTGAAACCTTGAACCTTCTGGGAAGTCCTGGATCTCTGTGGAAACTGACCCTGAGCTGTGTTCCCTCTTCTCAGAGGTGCTTTGCCCCCCTCTCAGGGCCTCTGTTGGGTTAACTTGGCACCTTCCCCTCAGGGTTCATGTTATTTACCATGTAAGCCAGCATGCAATATAGCTTGCACTATTCCTGCAATAGCCATTGTCCTTGATCCAGCCTCTATACACAACTGGCATTTGCATTAGTTCAATAAATATTTACTGATGATTGATTACTGGGGATAGAAATGAAAATAAGAAAGCTCCTGACCAACCCTCAATATTCAGGAGAGAGAAACAAATACCATGCTACATTGCACCCTTTATACTCAATGACATTTGCATTTACTATATCCGTCCATCTCTGGAGAAGCCAAGAGAGTTTCTCCATCTGATACATAGTTCCTGGAATTTCGTTTTATTTCTGATTATGGTATTAATATCACAATCCTTACCATGCTCTCACAACATCTTCATTTTATAGCTGAGGAAACTGAGGCATATATTATTTAAATGGTGTGCCTAAGGTCAGACATTTAGAAAATGGCAAAGCTATAAATCAAATTTTTGTCTAATACCAAAAGTCTCATTCTTCACTCTGCCCTATCACCCTCCCTCTCTGATACCCTCCCTGTTTGGATTGGGGCATGCAAAAGAGTGGAGAGCAGTCCTTTTTAGGTCACCACCATGCAAAACTATTTCAACTTCTGCAATCAGGCCATCCCATCAGACATGTGACATGACAAGGGAACATTTCCTCGTTCAGAGTGGCATTAAAGGAAATGAAAGCCGACAGATCTTTGTTATGCACGAGAAAACAACATAAATGGGAAAATCTATGAACATCACCTCTGTAAGTCTCTGGAAAATTTGCAGCAAAAACAAATGGGCCAGAATGTGAATAGATAATGTTTCACCAATGGGAACCTGGAAACCATGAGGCCAAGCTCACAGGAAAAATGATCCATTCTGTTCAGCATGAAATGAACTCTTCGGTGAAATAGAGGAGGGCAGCTTAACTACCTGTTTCCCAAACATAAGATCTATAGATCTGATTTTAACTTCTAGAAGGGGAAAGAATGCTTCAGCATATTTCTCCTGGCACATAGGCAAAGATGAGAAGGATTCTTCCACAGGCAAATGGGAGCCCTTTGACGGTGTCCCTGCAACTTAGCAGTGCTTGGACATCAGAGTCCGCTCCACACTCATTAGGCTCTTGCTATAGGTGGACATGGAGAAATAAGGGCACCCTGAGGAATTAGAACATGGCATAGGATAGTGCTGCTTAGAACAAGGGCTATTGGACAAGATACCATCCTTTCTGACAAGGAGATAGTTTCTAGTCGATTGAAGGAATGATTTGATTCTCAGGGGATGTTAGTTTGTGATACACCAAAGGTTCCACGATTGCCCTACTGGGGCATATTATGAATTTCCCTGTTTCTAGTCTACTTGGGGATTTGTTCTGCTTCTCCCTAGAAAAGCTTCTTCTTCATGCAGATTCCATTTAACTTTTAGTGACAAACTAACAGTCCCACCCCCTTGCAACCATTGGGAAATGTGAATCATATGCACATTTTCAAGGAATCTGGTTTTCTATGCCTGGCATGCACCCTCACTTTATATCATAGTGCTTAATTTTCCAATAGTAATCTTCTGGAGAGAAATCTTTTTTTTTTTTCTTCACAGGATTCTATAATATTCCAGGAGAAGCTTTGGATAGTCACCATGAAATAGTATGTTCCCATCTCTTTAAAATATATAAATAAAAATAACAGTGATAACCTTTATGGAAGTTTTAAATGTACATACTGTGGTAAGCACTTTTCATATATGAAATCATCTAATTCTCACGCATAAATCTATAAAGCAATCACTATAATACCCATTTTATAGATGCAGAAGCTGAAGATCAGGAAGCTAGGTAAGGCCAAATCAGGTATTTGTATCCAGGTGTCTTTGACTTCCAAGTTTACACTGTGGGATGCTATCCCCATAACCCTATTTTGAGGTGTGCAGTGCAAATTAGAGAACTGAATGCTCCCAGAATGACTTAGTAAAGAAATCTATTTAATGTTGTTTAATCTTTTATTAAGCTCTTTCTGGTAGTATTACCATGATCAGCAGATCTATCCCATCCATATACATCTGCCCAGAAGAGTGACTGTCAAGGAGTAGCACCGGTGACGATGTTGATGGTGGTGATGATGATGATAACATTTATCAAGAAACTATTATTTGCAGGTGCTTCCCATGAATTATTTCATCTGATCTTTACTTTTATCCTAAAAGTGAGTGCTATTCTTATCTCTGTTGAGTCGATGATCACATTGGGCATTGGGAGCTATCTTTCTCAAGGTCACACCACTAAGTAATGGTACAACAGGGATTGTTGTAGACTTGCCTCACCGCTTGTCCCCCCATTGGTGTCTGCTTTTTTTCTAAGCTTTCACAGGCTTCTTTCCCTGGGGAAAATGCTACCCCTTCTGGTAGCATCAGGTAGCTAAAAAGAACTGATGATTTTCTTTGGAAGTCTTAAATGCTAGGAAGAACAGCTTCCCTTGTCAGTCCTTCAGTCTTCTTAGAATGTATGACTTTGGGAGCTAATGGAGGCTCTGCTGCCAATCAGGGAGCTCTCCCACAAGAGAGAGACGGGAAGAGAGCTCCACCAGCCTCACTGCCAAAGTGTAGTCATTGCTCCTCATGGAACCCTGCAGACCAAGAGCAGATGATGGCTCTGAGAGATGCACATTTCAAAACTGAAGCCGTAAAGCACATTTTCCCCCTCAGCTTGCAATTGCCCCTTAATTGGACCATGAATAGCAATTACACTATAAAGCCAACAGGAATCTGTGGATAATTAGAGTGTGTCTTGGGCAGTGGGTCTTAATGGAGGAACCTGACTAATCATTGAGCGACTTTCACCCTCCACCAAGTGATAAAATTGTCATGAAATGCCTATCAATCACTCAGAGAGATTGCAAGTGTGATTTTAATTCCTGATAGAGTAGGACTAAGAAGTCTAGAAAATTGCATCCTGCCCATAAAGCTCTGTCTGTCCTTGAAGAAGTGGGAGAAGTAGAAACAAAGGTGTTTCCATGGTTTGGGAATTCAGTGTCCTGTCTGTAGCCACTTTATACACATAGCTTATCTTGATCCTCAGCATAGCTTTGTGTGGAGAATATTTTCAAGTCTCTTGCAAAATTAAAAGCACTGAGACTCAGACTAACTTACCCAAATTCATATGGCTAATTAATCACAGATCCAGAGTTTATATCTAGATTTTTGTTTCGATTTTTTTTTTTTGAAGCATTGGGAATGGAACACTGAATCTCATGCATGTCGAACGGAGTGTTCTACTACTGAGCACATCCCCACCCACTCTTCTACGTGTTTTAATATCCAAATTCTATGAGCTTTTGATTCTACTATAATTACTCAATATTTATTGAGCCCCAACTACAGGCCAGCAGCTTTCCATATATCTGTTTTTTCTTCCAACAGTTATGAAAAATAGGCTTTAAAAAATTTCATTTTAAATGAAAATAAAATTTGGACAGGGATGGTTGTTCTTACAATAGACTATCACTCTTTCACCTTTCTTATTACAACACATACACACACACACAAACACCACACAAACATATACATACACATTTTTTCTATCCCTCTCTATATTTCCAGTAGCTGAAACCACATGTCTGTGTTTTCTCAAAGGCAGGTCATGAGACAATGATGAGTGAGTTGTTCTAAGAAACTACCACCAGGAACAAGGCACGGTGGTGCTCTCCTGTAATCCCAGCAGCTTGGGAGGCTGCAACCGGAGGATTGTGAGTTCAAAGTCAGCCTCAGCAACTTAGCAAGGCCCTAAGAGAGACCCTGGCTCTAAACAAAAAATGAAAAGGTCTGGGGATGTGGCTCAGTGGAAAACACCCCTGGGCTCAACCCCTAGTACCAAAAATAAAAATAAAAAAGTACTACCAGGGAAATGGAGAAATGACCTGAGAAAGGTAAGTTAGTCAAAAAAGGATTAGTTAGCAAACCAGCTATTAAAGTCAGAGCCAGGACCTATCTAGAACAACAGAGAAATTGAAAAACATTGACACATATCATTATTCCCTATCTGCTACAGTTTGGATCTGAAACACCACCAAAACCAATGTGCTAAAGATCAGGTCCTCAGCTTAGGAAGACAATGGAAACCTTTAGAAAGAGGGTGGAGCCTAGTTGGAAGCATTATGTCACTGGGGGTGTGGCCTCAAAGGGGTAGTGGGATGTCTATCTCTTCTTTTTCCCTTCACTTCCTGGCTGCCATGAGATGAGAAGTTCAGCTCTACACACTCCTTGCCATGATTTGTTTCCTCACCATAAGCCCAAAACTAATGGGGCCAATCTATTATGAATTAAAACCTAAATAAACCTTTCCTTTTTATGAGTTGATTACATCAGGTATTTTGCTACAGTAATGGAAAGTTGACCAAGATCACTGAGGGGAAACAACCTCGGTATTCATCTACCAACTGTATTAGTCAAGGTTGAGAGATCTTGGAGATGAGTGAGTAAATGTTCTAATGTGTTCAGCTTGCAGCAAAAAAATAACAAAATTTGTTCCATAGCAAGAAAAGACCTCAGGCATAGGAATTCAGGCACTGACAGGTGGTAAGCATAGGGGGCAGGGCACCAATCCAATATCAAAGCAAAGAACTGGCTTTCTATGAGCCAAAGAGTAAAAGGGAAGCAGCAGAAAGCACAGCTTTGGAATCAGACAGACATGGCAAGTTATGCTTGCTTTGTGGTTTATTGGTTCTGATTGGCTAGAACCCGCTTGCTTACCCTTCTATATTCGGCATAGATCAACTTGCATGTGAGCCAGGAGGACTGAAAAACTCACATCGCAGGAGGGATTAGAAGACTCCAGGAAGCAATGCCTGTCAGATCTCAACACTGTACTTACCCAGCAGGCAGTTGCTGCTCCAGATAGACTAGTTCACCTGCCTCCCGAAAACTCCCCTAAAACCCAATATTGAGAGGTGATTTCTGCTCTAGTCAAAGTATCAGATCACTGTTCATATATTCCCTTTATATCAGTAAGGTGTAAAGTTGTGGGTTTATGGATTTCCTTGAAAATTGATTGAAATCTATTCACTTCTATTCCAGAAATACACACAAGATGCTTCTTACAGTAACAGGAAAGGTATTTCTATGATTATCTGGGGAAAATAATAAGTAGGCGGTAAGCAGAAGTATGTCTAGTGAATATGCTGTATTTTGTCTGCTGTGAGTATTCCTCAGAGTCCTAATCCTGGTGATGTAAGCCCATATGTACCCTTAGAAGAAAATCATCTGAATGGCATCTGTGAGTGACTGAGGGCTCTATAGGATCCCTTTTCTGTTTCATGGTCCCCAGCATCATCAGGACCACATGTCTCAACAGGGACAAACACATTTTGTGAATCATTTGCTCTGTTCAGCTTTGGGCCATTGGTTTTCCTTCATGTCAGCATCCTTCCAGAAAATGATTTAGGTCAAGCTCAAGGATAAATGCTGACTGGTTTATTCTCAGCTATCAAGTATAAGAAGTGATATAAAAAAGAAAGAAAGAAAGAAAATAGAAGCCAAATTTGTAGTTATTTAATGGTATGGTCTGAATATCTTTTCTGTATCCCTCCAAAATTCATAAGTTAAATCTTTACCCCCAAATTGATGGTATTAGAAGGTAAACTTTTTTGAGTGTTGCTGTGGGCTGAATGTGTACCCCCAAGATTTGTGTATTGAAACTTAATCCCCATTGGGTTATATTGAGAAGTGGGGCCCTTAGGAGGTGATTAGGCTATTAGAGGTCAGCTCTGGTGAATTGGTTAGTGACTTATAAAAGGGCTCGAGGGGACAAATTTGCCTCTTCTGCTCTTCTACCACACAACATTCATCCTGCCTTGTCCCTCCATCCCCTTCCCCTCATGTAAAGATGTCTCCATGAGAAGGTGCCCTCAGTGGAGTAGAACCTCACCAGATACTGAACTTGCCAGTGCTCTGATCTGGGACTTTTCAGCAACCAGAATTGTGAGGAATAAATTTCTCTTCATTATAAATTAGGTGATTGATCATGGGGCAGAACTTCCATGAATGGGGCTAGTACCCTTACAAAAGGGTCTCAAGAGAAACCCCTCACCATTTCCCCTATGTGAAGACACAGTCAAGAAGCTTCTGTTTCTGAGCCAGAAACAGGCTCACCTCAAACACCAAATGTGCCTTGATTTTGGACACCACACCCTCCAGAATTATAAGAAATAAATTTCTATTGCTTAGAAATCTACGGAGTTTATGGTATTTTGTGGTAACAACCCAAATAGCTAAGACACTTAACCTGGCATCGAGGTGTTCAGTCTTTCATGAAAAAGAAACCACCACCCTGCTGACATCTTGGATGTAAGTCTTCCGATTGTTCTTTGCGGAACAGAAAAACTCTGCATGAGTATATTTATCTACTGTTTTATAATCAAATTCCTACGTGTTGCTTGCTGACGTTTGTCTTATCTAAGAAGCAGCATAGGTCAGAACTCGAGAGTACGGGGACCCATCACTTACTTGACATTGCCCTGTGTCCCCATTTTCTCCTCCCTTTATTCCTTCTTTCAATATTTTAGGACACGGAGACCTGCTCGGTATCTTCAGAAGAGGAGCAGCCCTACTATTTCTAGTTTGTGCCAAGAGGGCTGTCCCAAGTAACAATTGACTTTGTTCCACTTGGATTCTGAGTGGCCAAAGAGGGACCACTTAACCACAAGTTTACTGCAGAGCAGTCCCCTGCCGGGCTCCTTTTCCATGGAAGAGGAATCTGCTACCATCTGTATGTGACAAGAGCAAGCAGCTTGGGGCCTGTTTAAGTCACTGTATGAGGATTGATTTTGCCTTCAGAGATTAAAATAGACACATTTTATGTCTTTTCCACAACTTCCCTCTTTCTTTCTTACCTTCATTTGTCCTCAATAAAGTATATAGTTATCAATAGGCCTCTCAAATGTCACACAACAAGGAAACACTCTAGAAGCACAAGAGTGGCAGAAAAATAGCAAAAGCTCCACTCCCTGCTCTCACTCCCTGCTCTCCCTGCTGCCTCCCTAGAGATCAGCATGTCTTCAAGCCATGAGAACCTAAGCCTGGGACCCAGGGAGATTTGGGTCAGGAAGCTGAGCCTCAGTTAACTGGCTGTGTGACCCGGACAAGTCCCTCTCGGTATGTCTGTCTACTCATTAGCAAAGTGGTGACAACTAAAATCTGTCCAGATTGTTGTAAGAATTAAATGAAATAATACCTATGAAAACTGGTGGTATTATAATTACCTAATAGATGAGAGGGCTTTTGCCCCACTGCTGTGAGTGCTGGGGAGTGTGTATCACTGTCTTCATTTCATAAGTTAAAGCATAACCACATTTCTAAAGATCACATAAAAGTAGAAAGACACATTTTTCAAGAAGATATATAACCAAAGGAAACATACCCAGTCTCCCTATACCTTGCTGTGACCTATGATGTGATTGTCAGATAAAGTGCAAGACATGCAATTAAATGTATCTTTAGTTAAGCATGTCCAAATAGGACAGACTGATATTACATAAAAAATTGTTACTTATGTGAACTTCAGATTTAACTGAATGGCCTATATTTTTACTTACTAATGTTGGCAACCGGCGTGTGCAGGTATCTCAGCATTCCAAGTTGCTGTACCTGGTTGAGAAGTGTAAAAGCTCAAGGGCACTGGTCAAATTAGGTTGCCCTAATTTGAATCCCAAGTCATGATGGCTGTCCTGCATAATCTTAATCAAGTTTTAGGCAACTTTGGAAAGATATTAACAAGCTTCAGGCAAGTAGACACAAATATCCTTTCATGATATGTAGATTTGCCAAAAGCAATACAATGGCAAAATGAAAACAGAGCAGCTAGAACCAGATAAATAAACCATGCTACCTCTTCATTCAGAGGCATCAATCTATAAAGGAAATTTAAAATTTTTGTTATAAGAGTGTGGAGATATACTTTTACGATATGAAGATTTGCCTGCAGCAATATAAAAGCAAAATGAAAACAGAGTGGCTAGAGCTCATAGAAGGCTTGTTACTTCTCTATCCAGGAGCATCAATCTCCAAAGGAAATTTTATTTTATTTTATTTTATTGTATTTTATTTTTTTTGCTTTAAGAGTATTTCTTTGTCTCTGCTAACATAAGATATTGGAGAAGAACACTTCTCTAAGGACAGACAAGAATTGTCCAAAGAGAAGTTTCAATGTGCCCTTAAATACCTGAGCAGGGAAATCCAGAGGAAGATGGTTCTTTGGAGAGGGGTAAGGGCAGGTGCACTCTTAGAAAGATGCCTCTGGTAAAATCTGGGACCACAGTCCATATTTTATTAGATTTTATTAAAAGCATGTCTAAAAGCTAAACAAATAAAGGGAGGGAAAAGAATTACTCCACCTTTAATTATCTATAACATGTAGTAATGTCTCCATTCAAAGTGGCTTTAAAAGTATAATTAACCATTAATTATCTTTCATAATTCTAAAGCAAGACTTAGCTGAGGGTGCTTATGTTCCTCGTTTGTTGGGCTGGGTCTGCAGTTATCAATCATCTCTGATCGGCTGAACAAATAAGAGAACTCATCAAATGGCCTGTTGTTGGCTGGGAGCTGGGCTGGGGCTGTCAGCTGGAAAGTGTACTTGTCTCCCCCCCACACACACCCCGCCTCTCTGTACTGTTGGAGCACTTCACAGTGCCGTGACAGAGTTCCAAGTATTCCTAGTGCACAAAAAGATGGATATTTCTCAAGGAACACACTTACAAATTACCAAGGGTCTCATCTACTACTTTCTATTAGTGACATCAGATCAAAAGGCCAACTTACCTTCACAGAAAGGGGAATAGGACTTATCACAAATGAAAAGGGTAAGAAAAAGAATTACTACCACATTTAATTAGCCACAGTTCCCCCACGACCATGAAATTTGCTTTCTTCTCACATGTAAAATATTCTCCTCCACATTCCAAGAATCACAAACAACAACAACAACAACAAAACTTATCCATTTACAACATCAGACTTAGGCTTAAAGTCCAGGATCTTGTCATTTAGTCAGGTTCAAGAGCCCATGAGAAACTTACTCTGGGTGTCTTTGCTTGGAACTCCTTTAATATGGTTCTTTTTTGTTTGATGGCTTGTGAATTAGAGAAACAACCCAATATACAGTGCTGAGAGAGGACCAAATGAAGTAGAAACTTATGTTCAAAAAGAGAGGATATGGAGACAAACAAATACGACTCCCACCCGATAACCATTCTCAACTTCAGCCAGGCCTGTGTCATCTCTCCTTGCTCTGGGCTATGCATTGAATAGGATCCAGTTTTCCTACTGGGTGATGGCTCTTAAAAGACCTTAGTTTCGTCTTCTGAGCCCTCAGTTCCACGCTCTGGGTCATCTGTCCTGTATTGACTTTATTATTGACTATATTCTTGATGTTCTGGCATCGGGGGCCTTGACCCTGGAGAGGCTGCCTCTTCCAAAGAGAACTAAGTTTTATAGGTATCAAATTAATTCCCTGAGATCATGACTTGGATATGTAAATCAGCCATCTCCTATATCAAATTCTCACACATCAAACCATTATTCATTCAGTCCCTGTCAAAAATCACGCAGGGACTAGATTACAAATGGCTACTAGGGATCACTCCTATTAACCAGATCCTGCTCCAAATTATTCAAACTCTCTAGTCCTAAGCTCACTAGGAGAGCCTACCCAGCTTTATCCATACGTTCCTGGAAAAACTCCAATAAAGGCTTGGGGTCATGCCCTCTCCTTCCAGCTCTCCTTACCTCTTGACAGTCTCATTGCTTCGCCATATGGTCCTGCATGACACAGAATGCCTCCAGTTTCTAAGAATCTGTGAGTATAAAATTCTTTTATGAAAACCACTTCCATGTTTATTGTCTATGCATCTGAAAATGTCTTTTTTACATAAGAAATGGTTCATGTTCATAATGGAAGAGCTTTCTCAGGCTGCTTCATGTCCAAAGAAGATTGGGTGTATAGGGGCCTCCTAATTTTCCATTAGCTGAGATTCAGTCAGGGATGAAAATCTACTACTACTAACATGGAATAAGAAACTTGCTATGGAAGTTAAACCTTCCACATCTGTGAGGTCTAGAAGGTAAGTAAAAATCTAGGAGAAGTTGGATGATCAGTGGAGAGTCGCAAACTAGGTGTCATGGAGATATGGAGCAGGTGTACAAGTTGAAGAGTGCTGGAAAAGCACCAAAGTAAACTGGGAAGATAATCTAGGGCAAATACTATGGAACACTATAGTCTTCTGCACAGGTGTTGCCCTTGAGGGACTGCAGAAAAGAGTCTGATGGTGGTGAAGACCATGATTGAATAGCATTTGGAGAAGGAGCTGGATACAGAGCACTGGAGCTAAAGACCAGTTGGAAGTAAGTTTAGGACCTTCTGCATTTGTCTTTCACTAAATATTTGGCCAACCTGCTTTTATATCAGACTTTCTATTTTTCTCTGCTTTGCTGTGAATAGGGCTTCCCACTGCCTGTGACATAAGTCTTTATTTCTCCTTTCTTTGCATTTGGTGGACACAGTTGATTCATAACACTGGAATCATTCTCACTGTCTCAGTATTATCTACCCACACCTTTGCCATGTGGTCCAAGAGAGACTATTTAGCTGACAGAACTGTGATATAATTTAAAGCCTGGTCTCTTTTGGAATCATTTATCCCTGTACCTTTCCTTCATCCCTCCCTTTCTTTTTGCTTTCAAGACCTTTGTCCCCACCCCTTTTTTTAAACTCAATGCCTATGTGTCTGACTTACCGAACACTGTGCTAGGTACAGGGGTAGCTCCCACTATGAGTGATAGGGTATAGTTGTACCTGCACTTGTTTGAATCTGCCTACCTCATTCATGCAACTAACAGTTGTCATTTGAAGTATTATTTGCAAAATTAGATTTTGTGCAGGTGTTGTGGAGGCCCCCAGATCATTTTCTTGTAGAGAACAGAAGACACAACCACCAACTAATAGGAAAAATAGATATTGGAAAGGCCATAGGGGTTTTGAAGATAACCTGTTGTAAGGGATTGTTTTTGAAAAGATAGGTTATAGGGAGTCCTTTAATGCTTATCTATGGACTGGGACTTCTTCCTGCACCTAATGGAAACTCATTAAAGATTTTTGTACTGGGAAAGATTGTGGTAAGACTTGAGCTTTAGGAAAGTTTATCAGACCATGCAATGGAAACATTAGAAAGTGGGCATCACTGGAGTTAGGTTTGTCAGCTATCATTTAGTAGCTAGGGGAAGGAAGACCTCTCACTAAATCAATTATCAAATAAATCTTGGAGCTATGGTGTCCATGGCCCTGGGCTGATGCAAGTAACTCTGAGCTTTCACAGTTGTGGGCACAGGCATTCAGGGAAATCATCATGCCATCTGGTTGACGGTAGTAAAGCTTCACTACTCTAGAGCCAGGGTACTGGAATTTCAGACCTGCTGAAAGGCAGGGAATCTGAAGGACTCAGGAGACCATGTCACAGAAGATAAATTCACTTGGTAACACAAGGGCAGTAAACTGTTCCTTTGGCCATGTCCTTTCTGACAAATGAAACTTCTCTTGCAACCAGATCAATAGTTACTGCACTAAAGAATTGTTGGAGAAAAATTTTAACTCAGTGGAGCTTATTTCCTATAAATCATCTTTACTTTTACATCCATTTATTCACACATATTGGTGAAACATGTGCTGTTAGTCAGGCTATACAGAGAGCATTAATGGTGGCTTGAAGGGAGGGTGTGCTGGAAAGAAACAGTGGACCATGCTGAGAGTTCTTCTGGGATGACAGGGAAGTTCCTTTTCAATAGGGTGGGTGCATGGAGTGCCCCATGCCGGACTCAGTACCCAAGCTAGTCCATGGAAAACTAATGAAAATTGGGAAAATGTGGGGAACATTTTTTAGAATTAAACATAGTTTTCTAGAGCTTATTCTTTATTTTGAAATGATGCCCTTCTTGTTTTTTTTGTTTTTTTTTTTTTTTTTGGTGTGTGTGTGTGTGTCTCCTTCTTCTTAGAAAATAATAGTGATGGTAGGTCATAGTGTTCTTTCCTTTCCTTTCCTCTTTCTTTCTTTATTCCCTTCCTTCCTTTTTTCCTTTCCTCATTTCTTCCTTCCTTTTAAAGTAAAAATGTCTTACTTGACAAAATTAAACACTGGCAATCTTACATTAATGCCTTCCCTGGCCCATGTCTCTGGGGTGGAAATCACTGCCTGGAGAAAGAGTCCATGCACAGCGGCTTTTGTACTGTTCAAATGTTTATCACAGACTTTCAAAGGCAATGATGGTATTCCTTTCAAGGTTCTACATGACAGAACAGGAAAGGTCATCTAATAGGTAAGTATACAATATGCTGCATCAGGATCCAAACCTACTAAAACATTGGCCAGTACCATCAGGGAGGGTACTGGCTGCACAGAGGAGCAGGTGGTGGCTCAGGCAGCACGATCCAGACCACTGCTAGACACCAGGTCTGGGATGGGCCAGCCGACTCCAAGAGTAGCTCTGACAGGGGAGTCAAGGAACTAGTGTCCAAGATGCCAACCCATTATTTTCTAAAATAAAACAAATGAAACCCAGCTGTATTGTTACAAAGGAGATATCTTAAGGGGAAAAAAGGACAGAGTAACCTAAGAAAACTCATAAACATGTTTATAATAAAGACTTTTGAATTTTTTATGGGTTCCACCATGGAGCAAAACTAAGACTAGCTAATGAGAATACAAGAAACCCAGCTGATCTTGCTATCAGAGAACCAAAATATCCTGCAGATACTAGCATTTTCTCCAAATGGAATACATTGTTGCCTTGCCTACTTCCTCATTCTGTTTATAGTTCTTTAATAGCCAGAGCTTATCTTGGAACTCGGTGCACCCTCAAATCTTCAGCTGGTACAGAGCCTAATTTGTAGTGTGGGACAGATAGATGTGTGTTAAAAATTTTAATTATGTTTTTATTGGTGCATTATAATACATGATAATAGGGTTCGTTGTGATATATTCATACATGCACATTTCCCAGTACCTTCCCTTTTCCCTCTCCTTCCTCCACCTGATCCATTTACTGATCTATTATTATTGTTGTTGATGTTATTACTGACATTATTATTTAGTGCGTTATAATTTTATATACATAAGCAGGATTTGTTTAGTATATTTGTACATGGACATAGCATAATTTGGTAGATTGCACTTCACAGAACTTCCCCATGCATTCCCCCTCTCCCTCCCTTTCAAGACCCTTCTATTCTACTGGTTATCTCATCTATTTTCTTGAGATCCCTTTGTTTTATTCCCATTTTTATGCTTCATTTTCTTTGTCCATTCATCTGTTGATGGACACTTAGGCTGGTTCCATAACTTGGCTATTGTGAATTTTGCTGCTATGAACAGTGGGATGCATGTATCACTATAGGATACTGATTTTTGTTCATTTGGATAAATACCAAGGAGTGGAATAGCTGAGTGATATGGGCGTTCCATTTCTAGTCTTTTGAGAAATAATAATACTGATTTTCATAGTGGTTTTACTAATTTGCAGCCCACCTGCTAGTATTCCTTTCACCTCATATCCTCTCTAGAATTTATTATTATTTATTCTTGATGTTTTTCATTCTAACTGGGCTGAGATGAAATATCAGGGAAGTTTTCATTTATGTGTTCCTGATTTCTAAGAAAGAAAGTTGGACATTTTTTCATGTATTTGTTGGCCATTTGCATTTCTTCTTTTGAGAAATCTTTTACTTCATTTGCCCATTTTTATTGGGGCTTTTTTTTTGGTGTTAAGTTTTTTGATTTGTTCATATATTCTGGATATTAACCCCGTGTCCCAAGAGTAGCTGGCAAAGATTTTCTCCCATTCCATAGACTGTCTTGAACACTGTTCACTGTTTCCTTTGTTGTACAGAAGGTGTTAAATTTGATGTCATCCCATTTGTTGAGTCTTAATTTTTTTTCCTTTATTTTTTAAATTTTATTTTTTGAGTTTTAGGAGTTTTTTAAGAAAGCCAGTGCCTGTGTCTAACTGTTGTAGCGTTGACCCTATGTTTGGTTTGAATTAGATAATTTTACCTATTTCAGTGTTGATTTGAGTCCAACGTGGCAGTTTCTCCTAAAATTATTTTGGGGCTCACTCGGTATAGTTGATTTACAAGTAGGAATCCCTGAGGACCCTTAAATCTTAACTCATACTAATAAACTTTCTGTTTCTGCAGCAAAATACCTGAGAAAATCAACTTATAAAGAGAAAAGATTACTTTGGCTCATGGTTTCATGGTCAACTGGCCCCATTGCTTTCGACCGATAGCAAGATACCACATCACGGTGGTGAGAGCGTATTAGAGTACAGCTGCTCATCTCATGGTGGGAAAATCAAAGAGAGAAAGAGATTAGACCAGGGTGCCATAATCTCCTTCACTGGCATCCCTAAAATGACCTAAAAACCTCCCACTAGACATTACCTCTTGAAATTTCTACCCAATAAGGCCATAGGTTGGGGACCAAGTCCTTAACAAACAAGCTTTTAGCGGGTACTTCATATTCAAACTATAGCACTTGTATTCCTAAGGTCCATGACCTTTTGAGGCTAACTTAGTTTCTCCATAAGTACAGAATCAGCAAGATTCCACAAGCTTAAATGTGAGTACTTAAGGATACGTAAGGATCGGATGTTTTTGATGCTGCTCTTACTGCTACTGCTACTTGTTGATATTGATTGACAATGATTAAGGGTCAATGGAACTGCATTGGAGCAGCAGGAAGAACATAAGTCAGCTTGTAAGGGTTACAAAAGGGTTAAGGGGGGGAGTGGTATTTGTACTGAATTTGCCAAATGAGTAGAAGGTTGGGACAGGAGTTGAGAGCAGGTCATGTTGGTAGGGCTGCTGGAAATGTTAGGGACAAGAAGTTTTGTGGACCCTGAAGTCCATCAGTATGATGTGAGCAAAGATTTTGAGAGACAGTGGAAGTTACAGGGAACAAGACAATAAAAATAGATGAAGGATCCTGACGGTCTTAGAGGGAGGACTTGTAGCATCCCAGGAGCAGCTGGGCTTCCTATCAGGGTAATCCCTTCTGTGGACCATGGCGACTTAGAAATGTATAACTTTCACATCTTTAAACCCCACATGTTCTTGGATAATCTTCAAAGTATGATGTACGCAAAGGAAAGTCTTACAATGACTCAAATTTCTGGTTTGTTCTCTACTATGTGAGAAATGGAACATTGGAAATTATGTCAGGAAAAGACCTTTATTTCCCCTGCTTTGAAACAATTTCCCTTCTCTTTTCTCTGCTGCTTTGTGTCATTTAATTGGCGATAGGATCACAAATTTGACAAATGAGCAGGTGATCTGCTTTTAGCATAACAACAAGGGCAGTTTTTAAAAAGTACATATTTTGTATTTATAAATGAGCTTGGCTTCTTGTTTTCTAAATCTACGTAAGACATTTCAAATGGGCCCCCATTGTAGAGAGTAAACACTCCCCCCCATAGTTCCTTCTCCTTGCAGGGCTCCTACAGCTGAGACTGTATATGGGAAAATTGTATTTTGATAGATATTTTGAAAACTAGGCTCCCTTCATCCTGTATTTCTCAGCAACTATTATAATTTTACTGAGAATTAACATCAGACATTGGGATGAGAATCCTCAGTCCACCAATATATAATTCTTAAAGCCCTGAACTGATTTTAATGCATTAATTAGAAGCCACCGCCTGAGTCCAAGATTAGACTCCTCTCCTTTTCTTTTTTAGTAGAAAGCGCAAGAAAACTAACGATTCTTAAAGCCATTGGAGTGAGAAGGGATTGTCCAGAAAAGATGGATATGTTGTGGGGGGAGAGAGAACAAGATGCCAAGCAGAGAATTTGCTCATCCACATGATGAACACACCCAGGCAGCCTGTGCCTACCACAGGTGCTGGGGCAGAGGGTGAGCTTACAGGAAATGATATGGAATCTTAAAAAGAACAGAAAGGAAGATGGAATCCTTTAGCCAAGGCACCTCCCAACCATGTCTGAGCCCTCCCAGGTGTGAGGCTTGTAACATTTCTCATAAGAAAATGACCTTATAGGTTATCTTAGTTAATATTGTGATGCCATAACAGACTACCACAAAATCAGGAAATATGCGGAAAGAAATGCATGGGCTTACTGTTCTGGGAGCTGAGAAGTACAAGATCAAGGGGCTGGCATGGGGTGAGGGCCTTCTTGTTACATCCTAGCATGGCTGAAGGCATTCCCCAGTGAAAGGGCAAAGAGACAGCAAGAATGAGTGAAAGCCAGAGAGCTGGGCAGACCCTCCCATCCCCTGCAGTAGGAAACCTACTCTGCAGTAAAAACATATCCAGTCCTGAGGGTGGAGCCCCCCCCCCAAAAGCTCCCTCCTCCTGGTGCCATCACAAAGGCAATTCATTTCCACAAGAGTTTTGGAGGGAACAAATAGCACAGATAAGACTTCTCCTTCCTTCCTATACACATCACTCCTGTCCTAGGTCATCTGGGAGCTCATCACCTCTTCTTTGGGACTCTGCAGTCTCTTTGGAAGGTGAACCTGGCTGCCAGCATTGTCACAGGCAAACAAAGTCCCACCGGTTTTCTGAAGCATAGTCCCCCAGCTCTCTTGTGCTTGGGCTTCTGTCCATTTTCTTCCTTTCTCGTCTCTTCCCTTGCAAAGGGACTTTAAAGAACTCTAAATAAATATGAGCCTGCAGAGCAAACTACTATGACAGTAAAATGACTGTGGTTACAAGTGCTACTTATTCAAAATCAAGTCCTGCTGGTAGGACTTGAAGAATGGGATTAAATGTTTTAAAACAGTGCCTCATTTTATCCTGATATGAAAGCCAAGAGAAAGCAGGTTACTATATCCAGTTTGTAGTTGAGGGGATGGAAAGTCTGGGGGACAAATGAGCAGGTGATCTGAGGTCGCAGGAACAGTAGGTGAAGAGGCAGGTGTGAAAGTCAGTCTGACTCTAAGCCTCACGCACGACATCACCTTGAATGCTGACAGTGAGCAGGTTACAGCCCTCTCCCCACAGATCACAGACCCACTTGAGCTTGAAATCCAGGATGCTTCTTTGATATCTTTTGACCTCAATCATTCTTCCATGTCTGGTTTTCTGGGTTTAATTCCTGTGACTCTTGATGAAAAGAAATCACAAGTTTACCACTAGACCTTGCCAGAACCCACGATGCTCCCTAGGGCTCACACCACAGTGAATGTGGACTTCAGATCTGCCTTACAGAAAGCTGCTCACAGGCTAGCTTCAGTTTTCTCATGGAAATAACATCTTGCTCATGCAGCTATGGTGAGGGTTAACTAAAATCTTATATGTAGAAGACTGAACCTGTTGCAAAGGATGTGCCTAGAAAATAAAGGTCTGATTTCATGCCTTTCCAGCTTCCAGCTTACTTGGACCAGACAGGCTACATTCAGCAGAGCCCCAGTAGAACACTGTCCCAGGTCATGGCCAGAGACAGCATCTTGCAGCATTGGAGGGATTGGAGATGCTTTGCCTGATGATTGCTCACAGGTTGGTTTCCTTGTTCTAGTCCAGTGCTTGGGTGTTCCCTCTGCCTCTCTCATCATAGAGAGAAACTTATGGTCTCACTATAACAAAAGAAAATGTCCCTATTCTTATTTTTTCAGAGGGAGCAAGGTGATGCCTAAGCAGATTGGCTTGTGATTCAAACCAGAGGAGTGGGACCAGCCGAAGGCAGTGGGTTGGAACCTGCTGATTGTGATGTTGGGGTCAGAAAGTTAGGTGGAAATGACCTCCAGCTTGTCACTTAACTGTTTTCAATTTGTTCCTTTACTTCTCTTCAAAACCCTGACTCCGAATGTTTTGAAAGTTACACCCCATAAATAATACCTGAGAAGTATTTGGTCCCTGCCTGGTTGACAGGAAACGGTTAATGCCTGAGGGCTCTCTCTTCTCCCATTTATGTCCTTGTCATGTTCAGATGCAGGTTCTGCAAGGGAGTGCACTCTGGCCTGAAGGATTTGAAAGATTAGCAAAATGAGCCGCGACTACAGCAGATCCCAGACTCTGTCCAGGTGAGGGATGCACCTCACCCGAGGTGCTGCTGCCCGCAGGCATGGAGGAAGCAGAATGAAGGATGTGTCATCTCCCTCCCCAGCACTGGCGGAGGGTGAGGTCAGAGAGGCAGAAAATCACACTCACCAGGAGCCGTTCTTCATTTTCTGCAATGAAATTTGGGAGGATCATCTTCAATCAGTGTCATTCCCTAGAAGAAAAGCAGCCACTTTTATGTGTTCATTCTGATTTTCCACAAAGGGAAACCTTGATGAGGCTGTCCTTTGCATCCGTCCTCCCCACCTGAAGCACCTGTCACCTCCTCCCAGCATGCTCCAAGTGCAGCTGTGGATGAGGGGAAGCTGCTCTGTGTCAACCCTGTTTCTACCTGGTTTCTTGAAGGTGCTTTTTAAAATTTCTCTCCGGCACCCTTTCCCATCCACTGAAGCTCCTTAAGGTTTTGTGTCTGCCTCCTGCAACACAGCTGCCATCTAAGGGACTTGATAACACCCCTACCCCACCATTCACCATGGCTGGCCTGATTCCTGAGCCCTGCCACTATCAAAATACCTAATACTTCCCTCATTTACGTTTTCCCTCACTTTCAGAGCAGGAGAAATTCTCTTTCTAGCCATAAGCTTATACTCCTGTGTATGATTCCAAAGTGCCATTTTGCTAAATTGCCTTATATTCCTTGACCTGAGACCCATCACTGTGACTCACATCTTTAGATGACTATAGTAGTCCATAGGTGAACTCAAGCTTAATCTATGACGTCATTCACTCACATGGCCCTTTTACACACTTTCTACTGCTGTGGTCCTGATGTAAGCCATTCTCACAGGTCAGCTGCAATGTCATAACTGCTCACCTGGACTGCCTGCTCCTGGTACCTTCCCTGTTTCCCTCCCAAGTTGCTCGAATCCTTCTGGCTGCTCTCCCCATCTCTGGGGTGGAGAGAGGCTTTGGCCGTTTATCTCCTGCCCCATCCTGCCCTGCCCACTCTCCAACCTCACCTCCTACCCCTTCCCTCCTACCCACCCCACTGAGTGATTACGCCTCACTGTCCTTGAACAGGGCAGGTGTACCACTACTTCAGAGGAATGCTTATCTCCCAGAAATCCACACAGATTTTCCCCCTCAAACACCACCCTTTTATTGAGGTCTTCAGTAAATATCTTACTGTAAATTACAGTCCTTATCTTCCGCCCTCTGGCATCAAACATTCTTATTCGGCTTCCTTGCTTTATTGTTTTCTTCACAGTACTTACCATTTTCTAGCATACTGTACATTTTACTTAACATTTTTTTTGTCTGTCTCCTCCCAAGTGATTTTAAGGTCCAAGAGAATGGGGGTTCTTATTTTATATCCCAGAACCTAGAGCACTTCCTGGCACATAGTAAGGACTCAATAAATGCATATTGAATAAATAGACTCTAATTGCTGCCATGATAGGCCTGCTCATCTCTCCATCTATTTCTTCAGCTTTATTCCTCATTGCAAGGCACGTCATGGTCTTGTGGCTGGCCCTATAGGCTGCATACAGCAGGGAGAAGATAAGGAAAGGGCATGACCCCTCTCCTTAGGAAACAAATCTACCCAGACGTTTCCCCAGTCATTATTTATGTCCTGCCTTTAACTAGATTTTTCGTGACCATGTGTCACTGACTTTAAGGGGCTCTATGAAGAGCAGATGACCTTGCGCACACCTGTTCCCCATTCAAGGTCCATGTTCTATTTGCTGACAGTCGGCTATCATGGAGATGAAGGATGGCACTGTTATTATTACAAGTTGTCAAGAAACCTCATTGGCTTGATCAATCCAGGCAATCTTTATTTAGAGGGAAGAGAAAAATCAGTCAAATCAGTTATTTGACAAGGTGTCAAATACACAATCACTTGTTTGACTGAAATGAAATTTGATGTCAGGTGGGTTGGTTGTGTTTAGATACTTGCCTTCCTTCTGAGACTATGAAGAGTACACATACTCAGTTTTGAACCCTTAGAGAAGGAGCCCATACTTGCTTCAAAGCCCATACTGGTCTGAAAAACTAGAACTACTCTTTGTGGATGGACTTGTGGAGAATATTCCTAACTACTTCCTATGCCAGTATATTTGAGCTTCAGTAGTTATCCTCTGAGAGATTGCAGCTTCCTTGGAGTGGGGAACTAGTATTTGCAGAGTGGCTGAATGCAATAGCATTTTACATGCACGCTGTTACTTATTTCTCAGAACAACCTCATAAAGTAGGTTTTAGTATCACATTTTATTGTTAAGAACATGAGGATGTAGACAGGTTCAGCAATTCTCCAAAGTCACTTGATGTGCAGTGACAGAGCTGAGATTCGAACAAAGTTCTGTTTGATTGAATTTCAAATTCCTTTAGTGAATCACTCTGTATCCCTAGTCCTCATTCTTCATCCTCCAGGCTACTTCTGTAGGAAGTTGGGTAAGAGCTGTGTTTAATATAGTCAAAAGTTGAGAAGGAAAAACAGATTCCAAACCCTCTTCCTTTGGTTGGTGTGATCCTTGGAGTGCATTTGTTCTCCTGTTGTGCACACAAGAATTGGGGTACAGGCAGTCATTAGTTAATATCCAATGTCAACCATTACTTATATAATTCTATGTTAAGATTTATCCAGTTGCTAGAGAGAAAAATCCCTTTTATTGAGGTCTTCAGTAAATATCTTACTGTAAATTATAGTCCTTATCTTTTGTCCTCTGGCATCAAACAGTCACATCATTCATCAAACAAATGATCCAAAGGAAATCCATTATTAGCTCTCAAAAAAATCTTATGGCTTGAACCCACTTTAGCAATGGTAGAATAGAGATACTTAAACTACAGTGCTAAAACTATGTCCCCCTTTATCTCCTGTCTCTATTTTCTTTAATGTTAGCCTTTTGTCAATAGTTATCCCTTTGAGGTGGCAAGATTATCACAATTATACTTAGCTTACTTGAGCAATCCCAGAAGAAAGAGATCATTTCATTCCAATATTTCCAGAAAAATCCAGGAACTCAGTTTCACTATTGACTTGAGCTATGTGCCTAGCCCTAAACTCAAATGATAGCCAAGACAATAGAGCTAACTAACCAAGCAGAGATCACAGATTGGGGTGGGTCAAATTCAAACTTCATGTACTAAGGTCCGGGGATTTGGCTTGTGGTAGAGTGCTTACGTGGTAGGCACAAGGCCCTGTGTTCAAACTTTAGTACCACAAAGCAACCATCACCAAACCAAATACAAAACAAAATGCTTGTGCTAAAATTTAGAGAAAGGGATCTCCAAAAGCAAATCAGGGTATTATGGCCAGAAGAATGGTAAATGGATGCTGGATAGGAGGAAAATTAAAAACATTCACTAAACCAGCTGTGTTTACAGCATGTCCTCTATGTGTATCAATTTCCTTATCTGTAAAACAATCATGTCAAGTGTCTCACAACATGTTTTAAGGATCGGATGAGATAATGTTTGAAATTGCAGGTCACAATGCTTGGTGCTTTGTAAATGCTTCAAATAGTATATTATTACTTTATATTATAACGCCCCAGCCCCTGTGACTCCTACACATTCCTACATGCAACAGGATTGCCTTGTTCTCCTCCTGCCTCTGGTTCCTTGTTTAAATAGCTCAGAATTTCTCAGACAATTGTTGGAATTTTTGATGGCCAGAAGGTCCGTGGGAAGCTGGAACTTTCAAAAAGGCTGCTACAAAAGCTGTTGGCATCCCTCGTTTTATTCAACGGGGGGTGTGCATTATGATTTGTACAGACACAGTGTGAAGCAGAGGTACACATCTCATTATCCTATTAATTCTCTAACATGTTGCTATTTGGCCATAGTCTCCTTTCCCCAAAGACAGGGAGGGAGAAGGAGACAAAAACAGTGACACAAATAACAGATTGTGCTTTGATACACATGAAAGATCCGGGGGTGTGTGGCAGGGGAATAACGTCATCTGTAGCAAATACTTATTTCTTAAAACCTGGTCCCTCTAGCAATTAACTGATTGGGGAATATCTTTGAGGGGAAGTCATATTAAATAAACTGAGGAGATAAGCTTCTAGGGGCAGCTTTCTCTTCCCTTTCTTCAAAGTCTGTTCTGTAAATATTTCAGGATAAGTACTGAAAGCTGACTTTGCCTCTCTGGTGGCAGATAGCATTGTTTTAGGAAATGAAGTTTATAGGCAAAAATCTCCAAAATGCTTTAAAAAAACAAATTATTTTTCATTGATGGAAAATAAAAATGGCATAAGAAACAAAGGATCACAAGGGAGCAGGTGACCATGACATGAACAATCTAATCTTTACCTTTTGTTTCTGATACATTCTTCATCTGAATGTAAATTTTTTTTTCCCATTTCAGATAAAGAAGGTGTGCGGTGATCCATGCTTTTGTTGAACCAGCATTTGTTCTAGAGTCTTCAGATGTATCTATAAATAAAATGTACATAGTCCTACTTTTAAGATTTTGTTATACTTTGGGTTAGAATGTCCCCCAATGGTTGGTGTGTTGGTGTGTTCATCCCCAATGCAGTGATGTTCAGAGGTAAGGGGCTCTTGGGAAATGATTGAATCATGACGGCTCTTAATCCATTGATGGGTTCATAATTGAATGGACTGTTGGAAGTGGTAGAAACTACAAGAGCATGAGTTTATGTTTTAGTCAGCTTTTTTGCTGCTGTGACTAAATATCCTGACCAGAACAGTTGTAGAGAAGGAAGAGTTTATTTGAAGGCTCATGATTTCAGAGGTCTCAGTCCATAGAGAGCAGGCTCCATTCCTTGGGGCTGGAGGTGAAGTAGAACATCATGGTGGAAGAGTGTGGTGGAGGGAAGCAGCTTACATGATGATCAAAAAGCAGAAAGAGGGAGACAGAGGGAGAGAGGGAGGGAAGAAGGGAGAGAGAGTGAGTGAGAGAGAGAGAACGCTCCACTTGCCAGATACAAATATATACCCCAAAATCACACCCCTGGAGACCTACCTCCTCCAGTCACATTCCTACCTGCCTTCAGTCACCACTCAGTTAATACCATCAGGTGATTGATCCACTGATTGGGTTAAGACTCTCACAACCCAATCATTTCTCCCCCAAACATTTTTGCATTTTGTCACACATGATCTTTTGGGGGACACCTCACATCCAAACCATAACAGCTTACTTGTGGGAAGTAGGCCACTGGGAGCATGCCTACAAGGGCATATTTTATCCCCAGTCTTTTCTCTTCTCTGTTCTTCTCTCTCCTCCTCTCCTCTTCTCTTTTTCCCACTCCTCTCATTTCCCATCTCCTTCTCCCCAGGCTGCCATGAAGAGAGAAGTTCTGCCATAACACATCTTCTCCACCATGATGTTATGCCTTGTCACAGGCTTGAAAGCAATGGAACCATTTGACTATGAACTGAAACCTCCGAAAGTATGAGCCAAAATAAACCTTTATTCCTTTAAGTAGTTTTTATCTGGTATTTTTGTCATAGCAATGAAAGTTGACTAATAGATCTTACACTCAGTGGGCTGGTGCTGTAGCTCAGGGGCAGAGCATTTAACTGTAGGTGTGAGGTCTTAGGTTCAATCCCCACTGCTGAAAAAAGAAAATTCAGAGATAAAAAGTGAAGCGAAAGAAATATCATGCAGGAATAATCATAAACCAAAGAGGTGAGGTAGGTTTAAGTGATACAGTGTTTAGATGGCAACTTTGGGCCATGTGGTTATACAAGTGAGCTGACACACCACTAGATCCTATTTAGAAGTTGCTGTACTTATCCTCCAGCACCTGGAGAATAAGTCTATGGCCAGAAGCTTAAACCTCAACTTCAGGAGGATTGTCCTTGGCTGATAGGAGATGACTATGAGACAATCAACCATGGGTTGATACAGTAGAGAAAAACTGTTCCCTTACTTAAAATCTGACCACCCATAAGGAGTAACTAACTTATGCTCAAGACCCGCCTTGACCATTATAATCCACAGGTCAATCCAAGACTAGACATTACCTAAAACCACATCTAAGACTCCATTTTGATATCTGTTTCCTTTCCTTTTCCTGCATTTCTCCCTTTTCTAATTTTTTCTTACGTCTGTTTCTAGGAAACCCAAACCAAGACAGCAGTAAAGGAGAACCTCTTTTGATATGATACATATGCTGGGAAATGAGTGATAAGAAATAACCAGACCTGTAAACCTCTGATGGAACAAGCTCCACATGCTGAAAGAACCAAGAGATCATGGGTGCTGAGCATTAAAAAAGAAGGAGAGTTTAGGAAGAGGTATGTCTGAGACTTTAAGGTCTAAACCTAGATCTCATAGGATAGGAGCCCTGTCTCAGGGATTTTAGTCAAAGTATAATGGGAAACAGGAAGTTTTTGGAAGTTGAGAATTCTGACTTGTATTTTAAAAGAATACCTCCAGAGATCAGATAATCCTGAGGTCAAAGTAGAAGCAGGGAGACCTGTTATGATACTTTGTAAGCAGGGACCTTGATTTGGACAAGTAACATCTATTTTATCTGTTATATGCTAGGCAATTTACATATATTCCTGAATTCTACTAGCAGCTCTGTTAGGTGAATGCCATTTTAGAGGTGAGGAAACTGAGTTTTAGTTTTCTTAAGTGGCTAATGTGAAATTACACAGCTGTAGGTGGTATATCTAGGATTTAAACCAGACTATCTGCCTCTGAAATCTGTGGGGTTTTTTTCCTTTTAAATTATGCTACCCTTTCTTGTCCAATTTCCTTGTATTTATTTTCTCTAAAAATAGTTAAATTATTTTTGGCTTGCCTAGTTGGGGTTATCAGTCTTTGAAACATTTCCTATTTCCCTGTTGAAGCATCAATCTGTTGGGTCCCTCAGTCTGTTAGGGCCCCTGAAACACTGGTTGCCATTATCCAAATACATCTGTTTATAATTATAAGATGCCCTTACACTTCCCCTTTTTGTCAACATAATTACTCTCACTCATGAACACTGCCCTGACCAGCCCAGGGACCCACTCCCCTGCCAACTGCAATAGCTGATTTCCAAAGCCCCTGCCACTCCAGTCCAAACATATGGACCCCCTTCTCAGCTCCAAGAACTAGAAGGTTTGGATCCAAAAACAATGTAAATGGAAGTTACTTCTGTCTTTATCTCTGTCACCCTGGCAATGCAAGAAATGGTTAAGTTACCTAGGGCCATGTTTGGAATTGTAACAAAATCAATGACTTTGTCATCCAGAGGGAAATTTTTAATTAATATTTAAATCAGAAGTGATCCTCTTGCCATAGACAGCCATGGCAATCCAAACCTTTTCCTCCCAACATGAAGCAGATAGAAGAATTAGAAGCCAAGTCTTTTTCCAAGAATTGGGTTAGAATCAGGGAAGAAAATGGGAGTGAATCTTTACCACAAGCATATCAGATAGAGCACTCATCTCTAGGAAAAAAAAAAAAACCTTAACACCAAAGAAACAAATAACCCAATCAATAAATGGGCCAGGGAACTGAACAGATACTTCTCAGAAGATATATACAATCAAACAATAAACACATGAAAAAATGTTCAACATCTCTCTTAATTAGAGAAATTCAAATCAAAACTACTATAAGATTACTCCAGTCAGAATGGCAGCTATTAGGAATACAAACAACAATATGTGTCGGAGAGAATGTGGGGGAAAAGGTATACTCATACATTGCTGGTGGGACTGCAAATTGGTGCAGCCAATCTGGAAAGCAGTATGAAGATTCCTTGGAAAACCTGGAATGGAACCACCATTTGACCCAGCTATCCCATTCCTCAGTTTATACCCAAAGGACTTAAAAACAGCATACTACAGGGACACAGCCACATCAATGTTTATAGTAGCACAATTCACAGTAGCTAAATTATGGAAACAACCTAGATGCCCTTCAGTAGATGAATGGATAGGGAAACTTTTGTATATATATATACAATAGAACATTACTCAGTATTAAAAGAGAATAAAATCATGGCATTTGCAGGTAAATGGATAAAAAGTTGGAGAATATAATGCTAAATGAAGTAAGCCAATCCCCCAAAATCAAAAGCCAAATGTTTTCTTTGAAATGAGGATGCTGACTCATAATGGTGATGGGGGCGGGGAGCATGGGAGGAATGGTGAACTTTAGATAGGGCAAAGGGGAAGGAGGGGGAGGGAGGGGATAAGAGGGTAGGAATGATGGTGGAGTGAGTTAGACATCATTACCCTAAGTAAATATATAAATACACAAATGGTGTAAAAATACTTTTTGTACAATCAGTGACTTGAAAAAATGTGCTCTATATGTGTATTATGAAATGAATCGCATTCTGCCATCATGTGTAACAAATTAGAATAAATAAATTATTTTTAACAAAATAGACCCACCCACCCACACACACACACACACACACACACACACAAATTAGGGAATAGAATCTACCAGAGTTTAAGCAGACCACAAGCTCCGAAGAATATCAAATCAGAAACAGTGGTAGCTCAAGTTTTGTACCTGGGTGATGAAGATTCTGGGTTAAAGTATGAACTTTGAGAAAGGGCCAGTTGAAAAGTTCTGTGTAGTTAACATAAGACTGTGAAGTAAACTTGAGATAAATCCAATGTGCACTAGATAAGGAAGGGGAAAAAGAGGAGATTAACATTTACTTAGCCTTATTCCTGTCAATCATGGTCTACTGGTATGTTACCTCCAAAGTGACATTTAATCCTTATGCCAATCCCGTGGGGGTAGTTATTATCATATAGACTGTCTACTGGAGGAAAGGGACTCAAAGACTCTAACAGTTTGTCTTAGTGAATGGCAGAGAGAGATCTAAGCTCTGGTCTCTGTGGTGTCAAGGATTACATTATCTTTCCAATCTGCAAGAGTGAAAATAGAAAAGGAAAGAAGAAAACAGGACTAGGAAAGAGATGTTTTCTTTGAAGATACCCGACCAAAAGGAACAAGTAGCTCTTAAATTTCATGTTAAGGGAATTATTAGAGATCACATAGAATCCAGAATCATATTAATTACAGCTTGATGAGTGTGTGCATGTGTGAACCAAAAATAACTGCTATAATTGCTTATCATTCATTCCATAGTGTGTGGTTCTATTGCTTTCAAACATTCCTCTTTGACCCTTGTTAATAGTGAAGAACCACTGAAGTCTTAGTAAGCCACAGTAGCTGAGCTGATGTAATTTGTATCAGCAGTTTGCAGAGCAAGTTATCACATCTCCACAGAAGACAGAGAGCCTCAACAAGTTCTGTTTCCATTGGGACAGCCAGAGCTCCAACCTGTACTGCGAAGTGGGGGTTGTTAATTGTCCTAATTCTAATTCTCGACCTGTAGAGAGCGCCTGCAGTTAAATCCACGTGGAGGTCTGAGCTACTGATAGGAGCTTTTGCAAAGTATTTCCAGTGACCTATTTGGCCTCTGCCTGCTCTGTACTGCATTTTTGTCATTTTCTTTAAGCAATTCTCAGTGGTCTGGCTGGATGTATAAGTGTACAGCTGACTCACAGGCTGACTCAGCAGATTCATTGCCTGAGGATAGAGTTGCTGCTGGGCTCCCTGGATGGAGTCCTAGCTTCCTTTTTATAATGTCCTATTTGGAGAAACCTCTTGGGAACAGCTTGATTGTATCATGGTCTCTTCTCCTTGCCTCTGCTAAGGTGGTCTTACCTCTGTACAAGAAATCAGGCACAGCCTGTCTGTCCCTTATGGCAAAGTTTCTCTTCCCTTCCTCCCCTCCTTCCTTTCTTCTCTCTCTCTCTCTCTCTCTCTCTCTCTCTCTCTCTCTCTCTGATTTCTTTGTTCCTCTACTTGGCTCATCCTTTGCCGTTAATTTTCCTTGCCCACCTAGAACTCAACTTGTCTCCTATGAACTCTTTTCTGACTAATACATAGCTGACTTCAGTGTATAGAATTTTATTCTCTAGGATGTCCTTTGAGAGTTGAGAAATGCAACTGCCAATCTTATGGTTGAAAGAGAGCTGTATTCAGAAAGAATAAGTGAAAATAAGATCAAGCAAGCATTTTCAGGTCTCTGTAAAATGCATTTTGCTGAAATGATAAGACTGAGAATACAACTTATAAGAAGCAATCCTCTAATCAAAAGAGCATAGCAATTCTGCCCTGGCTGTATAGGTCTCTCTTCTGGTCAGTGGAATGACCATCGAACTCGTCCAACTATATAGGATCCTTATAGAATATTTAGGGTATGGCAATTTCTGGGCCAGCATTTATATATTCCTTTCCCATATGTGTCAAATTGGGTACATGTGATAGCTATAAACACAATAACAATAACCAATAATTCCTGAATATCATGTCAGGGATTATTCTGTTTCAGTGTTTATCAATGACAATCTTATGAGGTATCTATCATCAAAATTTAATACCCACTTTATCTGTGAGAAAAATGAGGCTTGCAAGAGATAAAGTATTGCCATGGCCATTCAACATATAAAATTAGCATCAAAGTCAGTACTTTCAGCACTAGATACCCTTGTCCTGTAAGGCAAAGTGCAGATTAGAGACTCAGACAGGAGGAAAGGGACCTTACCACTCTTGGAGATGGGGAAGGAGAGGACAAAAGAACTCAAAGGTGCAGAGCACCACCATGTTTTCCAGGCACTATGTGATGCCACTTATAGATACTTTATAATTTAAACCTCACCACAAAAAGGAGGTTACTCTCATTATCCTCATTCTGCATTCAGTATTTTCCCCTTATGGGGATATGTTCCAAGATCTCCCAGGGATGCCTGAAACTGTAGATTGTCCTGCATCCAATATATGCTCCTTTTTCCTATGCATACATACCCATGAAAAAGTTTAATATATAAAATAGGCATAGTAAAAGATTAACCATAGCTAAAATCTAATTGATTGACTGAGGACTTGCTTTGGACACCATCTGCTGTAGTTTGGATCTTGAGAATCTCTGAGAGGCCCATGTGTTGAAGGTTTGGTCCCTGCTGTGGACCTACTGGGAGGTGGTGGAACCTTTGTGAAGTGGAGTCTAATGGAAGGAAGTTAGGTCACTGGGGGTATGCTCGAGGAGATAAGGGATCTGGTCCACTTTCTGTCTCTTTGACTTTTTGCTTCCTGGTGTCCATCATTTGAGCAACTTTGCTTCACCAAACATTCCTGCCATGATATTCTGCTTCACCACAGCACCAAAAAACAATAGAGCCAGTCAACCATGGTCTGAAGCCTCTGACACCATGAGACAAAATAAATATTTTCCCCTTATAAGTTTTCCAAGGAATTTTATCGCAGTAACAGAAAGTTAATTAACACAGCATCCTTTAACCTCAGTGCTAGGGATCAAACCCAGGGCCTTGTGCATGCTAAGGTCATGCTCTACCACTGAGCTAAGGTCATGCTCTACCCCCCATCCCCATCCCAGACCTTAACATTGTCTCTTTAATCAACTTCTTTGACTCTGCCAGAAATTCGGGAGCAGTATCTTCATTGGCAGACACAACCTCTCCAGTAATTTTTATATTTTCCAGAGGATTTCACGGTTTAGTCTTTGTAGGGGCTCAATGCTTCTGGTACAGACATGTTGCCATCAATTGGAACATGTTTTCTGTTTACGTCTTCCACCCACAAATTTAATACCTTTCTCTATCTTAACTTAGCACTTATCACACATTGTGGCCGTAACTCTTGCATTTGAGGTGTGACAGAAAAACTAGCACATATTTCTTTCCCCTCTTCACAATTTCACGGTTTGAAGATTCATTCTTACTATAGATCTTAACAACACGACACACTGTAGAGTATTGGTTGTTTACTCTTATGACCAAGTGGCTAGCTAGGAGCTGAGGTTCACAAAAGAGGACCATGCCACATATCACTAGTCTAGGAAAAGATCAAAATTCAAACTTTGAAATACATTTTCTACTGAGTATGTGTCATTTTTGCACTACTGTAATGTCAAAAACATCCTAAGTCATACCATCCTAAGTCAGGGTCCATCCATGTGTGGAGATACAGGCTTGGCTCAGGGTTATTGGTTTATTTACCAAAGGCATTCACTTATTCATTTATAAAACAGCTATTCACTGGACAGCTAAGAAATATAATGTTCTATGTTGAGTGCTGGAATGAATAAAATTACTGGAGTTACAGCCCAGAGGAGGAGTTGGATACTAATAAAAAGACACACAAGAAAGATGTGATTATAAGTGTCACAAGTGCAGGCATGATGCTCAGAGAGTAAGCATCTGCCTAATTGCTGGGAAAGGGGGCAGGGAAGGCTTCCCCAAGGAAGTGACAGTTGGGCTGTCAAAGGACAAAAATTACAACAATGCAGTGTAAAAATCTTAATTGACTTTATTTTCAATTCTAGAATTGGGCAACACTTCATTGCATAAAATAGAATAAGTGGATGTTGGACTGAGCAGAAGAGATTGGTTTTATAGACAGAGAAAAAATGAAGAAAGTAGAAATAAAGAACAAAAAAACAGATTGGTCACTTCAAAGTTACTTTCCTTGTTAGGTGGGCTAGGCAGAAGGGACAATAGAAAAATAACAAATTGGTTAATATCAGGTTACTTAAAGTTACCTTTTTCAGGTAAGGATTAAGGCAGAGGGAACTTCATCATCACGCCAATTAAAATTGCCTTGTATGGGACACTTTGGCCATTATCTCTCCTGATCTCTTGGGTAGGTCAGATAACAAGTTAGTTTCAGTTCAGTGACATGGACCATCGGAGTGACTGACTCCATTTTGATTTTTAATCTATTGGAGTTTAATGTAGGAGCTTAGTCCAAACCAATAATCTTCTATGATGCTTTTGAACACAGCTAAAATATAAAGTATGTGTAGGTGGCACCTAGGGATGAGAAGAGAGATCACTCCCAATGCATGGGAAAGAAAGTGCTAAGACCTTGCAGGAGGAGAGAATGTAACTCATTTGAGGAACCCAAAGATAAAAGGGAGAGCTTAGAAGTGCCAGGAGACTAAAACGTCTGAGAA